TTTTGCCCGTTTATTTTTCTACTTTTTCTTTTTTCGAGTTGCATAGTTTATATTGACTTATCTTTAAGTTCACTGAATGCCTTTGCATGCTTTTTTTTCCCCTAAAATTGGGTCATATCTTCCTCCTTCTTCATCAACATTTTAAATTGTATCCTGGACGTTGTAAAAGATATGCTGTGGAAATTCTGGATTTTTTTTTTTTTACATTGCTCTGAAAAGTGTTTATGTTTTGTGTTAATAAGCAATTTAGATGCAAATTGTAGCCTGCCAAGCGTGCAGTGGACAGTGGCTTCAGTCTTGATCCTCTTCCCTACACCTTAGCTCCTGCTGCTTCAGTTTACCTTGTACATACGTGATTCAGAGGTCAGCCTGAACTACACTTAGTTTACACACAGAATTAGGGGTCAGCTTCTCTGTTTTTTCCCTTTCATGGTTCTCTAGTTACTCTCTGCTTCCCCCATTAGAGAGTGTGTTTTCCTATCAAGGTTTTATGTGCTGCTCTGATTGTCTGATCTCAGTAAAGATGCAAAATAAATGTATAAATAAATAAAAAGACAGGGAGCTTGCTGTCTGCTGGTTTCTTGTTCCAGCTTTTAACTCATCTCCCAAGTCTACTTGCTTTTATTCAGTCTCCAGGCCCTCAGGCAGTTTTGTTTTGTTTTCTTTGGAGGGGTTGGTATGTTGTATAGTTTTTTAAAACCAAAAAAAAAATCAATGTATTAGGAGCTCATTCCTCCATATCAAAAGGAGAATGCACGTTCCAATTATTTTTTTAATTGAAATCTGTATTGAGATAATTGTAGACTCACATGCAGTGGTAAGAAGTAATGTACTAGAGCTCATGCACCCTCTTCCCATTTTCCTCCAATGGTAACATTTTGTAAAACTAGTATAATATCACAACCAGAATATTGACATTGATATAGTCTATGGAACTTACCCAAATTTCCCCAGTTATGCTTGTACTTGTGTGTGTGATTTAATTTTATACAATTTTATCATATGTAGGTTTGCATATCTACCACCACACCCTTCCAATTATTTTGAAAAGTGGAGGAAATGCTAGAGTTAGAAAGGACTAAGGTCTGGCCAAGCTCCCCCCTGAAGACGATTACCTAGTATTGAGTCGTTAAAACTGACGTATACCTAGTTAACATTCATTTTTTATTAATCTCTTTTCCATATTGTAAATGTGTTTGAATGCAAGAATCGCTTTATGTTTTCTAAATACCTTTAGCCACACCACAGCCCACAGTACCTCAACACTGCAGAGACATCCAATTCATGTCTAAGTATAGAAATACATGTTGTTAAATAGAATTGAAAAGCAAGAATGTTTTAGGAGTTCTCTCCTTTTAAAATAAGACTAGTATTTTTCAAAGCATTCTTATTTTTTCCCCTTACATTCAAATAACATGTTATACTACATGAAAGAACGTTATAGATGTCTGATCTTATGAAGGTGGTGTTGCTGCTTTTGATTAAAAAAAAAAGTAATTAGGCAAGCATTTCCAGGTAGAGGTAATCTTAAAAGCTTGAAAAGACCTATTTCCTTTCAGCTATTGTTTTATAGGTGCTCTGCGTCACCATCCATTTCTCTGTGTCTCTTAAGACGACCCTGTGAAAGACAGCTCTTATGCACTTGCTTCTGTCAGAGTCAGTGGTGGGCAGAAAAACATCCATTTTTTCTCTAATGGACCGCGACAGTAGGTAGTTATGTCATGACTTTCATTTGGTGTTTCATATGCTCTCTGAAAAGAAAAATGTTTAGTAGTGATTCACAGATTCTTTGGAGAACAAACACAAATAAAATTTCTGTATTTTCAAATAATCAGGGATACTATTAGGAAGATGAAAATTGTATCTTTCCATTCCTCTCCTTTGGGATTTGAAATTAACGTTTTCTCCCTATCTTAGGAAGTTCATTAAATCTTGGAAATTAAGTGGCTGTCTGTACTAGATAAGTTGAAAGAAAGATGCCTCGTGAAGCGTTGGTGGAGCCCATACAAGTGCTCATCGCTGGGGCAGCTTTAACTTCGTAGGGAAAATGGGAATTTTAGAAAAGCCTTCTAGTCCCAAATGAGGACCCTGAGTGGATGTGGGTATTCAAGGGAATTAAAATGCGCAGCCTCTGTAGGAGAGATAGTAAGGATACCTACCATTGAATTAGCTGATTTGTTCATTCATTCACCCATCACATGCTTGTTGAGAGCCCACAGTATGCCAGGCATGTATATAAAACTATTCTATAATACAGTAACTTCAGAGAGTTTATGTAGTGTGATTCATTGCGCATCCCTGCCAGGAGCCATTTAAAACTGTAAAGAACTTCAGTCTTTAAAATGAGTTAAATTCTGTTAAATTTGTCTGTCATTCCTCATACCATACGCTTCCCCCCAATCCTCAGATTTTGGGACCCAGCCTGGCCAGTAAATCAAGATGGGGTGTTGATGTTAACATTGACCTTCCTGGGAAAGAAATATGCCATCCTCTGCTTCCCTTCTCCTTGAGGAAGAGGCTACAGTCTCTCTGACCCTTTCTGCAAAGTGGGAGCGATGATCACGCTGCCTCTTCTGGCCCAGGGAGGATAACATGTGTTCGTGTGCTAGGCTCCAGAGATGCAGACTTTCTAAGGCCATGCCTGCCTTCACGGAGACCACACACACAGGGATGAGGGACATGCATGCTCTTGCCACCTGTACTGTGCTAAGGGTGGGCACAGCACCCTAGAGGGCCAGGGGAGCTGGAAAGTTTTGGGTCCTTAGAGAAGGCCAGGTGCAGATGGACAAGAACCCTAATGGCGTTGCTGGTGTGGACTCTAGCACAGCCGGCCTGCAGCTTGATGACAATGGTCATTATTATAATTTGTGGTCCAAATGAGGGCACTTTAAAAAATTATTGTGGCAATATATCAAACAGGGATGCTTTTGTCAGTAAAGGTGGTGCTGTTGATAGCGATGCAAGGACAAACAGACTGCGAGGGCAAACTGAGACGAGTGGTTACTGTACATGAGACCCTTGTCTGCTTCTGTTGCCTGTCTTGTTGTCCGGCCTCTTCTTTTTGGCTTGGTACTTTTAAAATTTGTCAACTGCTCATGTCTTGGCACAGCATAGCCAAAGCTGAGTAACTGGGTTACTTGGCCCAGACAAAGCCCTGGTATGGAAATGCTACGATACAAAAACATGCACAGGGCTAACGTCAGTGATTTTTAGACAGAGACTGTGTGACATTATGTTTTAACATATGTTAAATGTTTCACATTATGTTTAAACACATGTGTTTGTATACACATACCATTTATATACATATGTAATTATTATAATTTTTTACATAAGAGGATATTGAGGCTCAGAGAAAGTAGTTTCTGCAGCGAGGTTGCCACAGCCAGATGGCAGCAGAGATGATTCCCAGCTAGCCGAGGGCATTGTTAAAAAATCTATTTACTGAGTATGATATCTATTTAATAATTTCGATGATCAAAATGTAATGTTTGGTAATCAAGGGGTATGCTGCCTTCAAAATACCATTGCGTTAGTTCTCAAAATTTAGAGAAGAGTTTTTAAAAAGTAATTTGAAGCTTAAAAATGAGATAGGAGAGAGGTAGAAAACATGTTATTATGTAGTAGATAATAAAAAAACATTTTTGAATGCTTCTAAGTTGCTGGAAAATGATACCAAAGGTGAGGAAGTTGCTTTTGAAGAGATTCTGTTGAGTGAATTTCTTAACTTAAATTTCTTCTTTGTTTTCTGTTCTATAATCTCATCAACTATTGTTACAGAACACTTCGTTTAAGATTTACTCATGATATGTTTTGTACATTTATCACTTGTTGCCTTTGGCCAACATTAAATTAATCTTATGATACTTTCATGTTATATTATTATATTATTTTGTATTAATAGAATGTGTTAAATGCCACTCCCGAAAATGAACATTTACAGAGCCTTATTTCTTGAACGTTTAGTACAAAACAGCTCTTTGAAAATGCTTTTTCTTTTCTTTTTTTAAAGATTTTATTTCTTTATCTTTGCAAGATGGGAAGGGAGGGAGGAAGAGGGAGAAAGACATCCATGTGGGAGGGAAACATTGATCGGTTGCCTCCTGTATACACCTTGACTGGGGACTGAACATACAACCCAGGCATGTGTGCTGACTGGGAATCGAACCACTGACCTGTGGCTTTGTGGGACAGTGCCCAACCAACTGAGCCACACTGGTCAGAGCAATACCTTTTCTTTTTAAAAAAAATTTTAGACATATGTCACCATAGCTTTGAGGCCCCATACCCTCTGCCTATATTTCTTTCACACCTCACACGTCATACATGAAGCTGAGTCTTCCCATTCTGGACATAGTCATTTGCAGCTGATGCTCAGAGTCATTCAGACTTTTCAGCTTGTCTGGATCATCATGCTCTTTGATATCCTTCATTACTCCTTATGAGAATGAGGCAAATAACCACAAAGCAGAAAATATTAAGAAGCCATAAAGAATTGGGACTGAATATAGAACACTTTGATTATAGAAACAAAAATAGTCAGTTTTATGACTGGGATGATCAAAAGTACACTCTCTGCATGTGTAATCAGATGTTTAGTAAACACTTTCTGATAGTAAAAATATAACAGTGACTATTGCTAGTCAGGTGTTAGTAAGAAAGTTATGAATTACATCATTCCAAAACTCATCATTTGTTTTGCTTATATATTTCGCTTATACACTTATGTTTGTTATTTGATAGTCTATCTGTTTAGTCTCATTAGAACTTGAGGATCAAGAGGTTTAAATGTTTTAAAAGGATTTTTTTTTTTTTTTTTTACTGCTCCTGCTGTGGGACTAAACAGGAAAAAAATAATTAAATCAGTTTTATAGTTACCAACGTGAGTGTTGGCAATGTTCATCTAATAAAATGCTGTTGTCGGGACAAATTGTGTAATGTGTAGCTGGTGATGTTAAGAACAGCTATAGAAAGAAAAACTTACAATGTTTTTTTTTTAGGTTTGTAGCCAAACCATGTGCGATAGCCCTCAACATTCAGGCCAATGGACCACAGATCGCCCAGCCAAATGCCATTCTGGAAAAGGTCTTCACTGCGATTACAAAGGTATGATGCTCCTTTTCTGAGGTGTGGCTTGTCATGACCACAGGTCTCAGTCTGAAATCATTCATTGCCTTCTCTCCTGGGTTTGAGAACTAGCCTTTGCCTGTCCCATCCTGAAAAGTGTGCCCTCGGAGGGCACGCAGGCACTGTGACTAGACCAAAATGGATAGAAGTGGAATGAATGTGGGCATGTTTGAGACCTGTTTGTTTAACTCTCAAGTTGAGATCAGAAGCTTAACTGTGAAGAACCGGGTAAATTAGATAGTGATTAGTGATATTGATAACTCTGTGCCTTTTTTAATCTCATAACAGTACATATAACCATTGGATGGGACATTGTGGAGGCCACTGAGTAGAGATGAGGGATGTATTCAATGTATATATGAAAAAAAGTGCCTGTTTGCTTATAGCATCGTTCATATGTTCTAGCAGTTGTGGTACTTAGGCAAGTGTGGATCCAAAGGAATAACTGAAGGCAAAAAACGTTGCAATGAGAAGGAGGGAAGAACAACAGTCTGGAGAGTTATAAGTTATAGATTCACTGTGGAGAAAATAAGAGAAGAGACAGTAACTCCGGTGAGAGTTAAAGTCCAAACTAGGAGTGGGAAGAGGAGAACAGAGGAGGGAGAAGAGATAGGGAGAGGTTGCCCCTCCCCCACAGCTGATATCCCCTAAGAACAAAGAGCGGAAGAGAAAGACTGAAGTCAGGATCCTTCAATCAAAAGCCACAAGAAACTAAAGCAAATCACAGATGCCAAATATTTTATTCTTACTCTTATGTATCTCTCTTATCTTATTCTTGCATGGACAAAAAGTAGAATAAAACAAGTATATCGTTCTATGAGAAGTATTGTGTGTTTGTGTAATAAATGGTTAATTTGTGTGCTTGTGTAGCTCATGGTTCCCTCTTTGATTTCCTGAGAGAATTACTCAGACTTTTAAGATATAATTTGACAATGTTAAACAAATTTTATTCTTTTTTGAGGATCTGCATTGCTTACCATTTGTATTATTTGTCTCTTGTCTTAACACTATTAATTCAAATATTCGAACATCTTTGTTTATTTTATGGTCTTAGTTTCTGCCACGATTCTCTAGGGTTTTTCCCTCTATGCTTTTAAATATGATATTTTTCCTGAAAAAGAAAAAGCACCAGGTTTTTGTTTTATTTTGTTTTGTTTTGTTTGTTTTTTAACATCTCTGCTAGAAGAAGAGAAGAGTGAATGGAATTTTAGGAAAAGCTCTTCTGGTAGTTGTAACAGGTTATAACCTGAGGGGGCACATATTCTATGGTTTTTAAAGGAAGAAAATATTAAGAAAAAACTCACATTTTCACTTACCACATCAATTTACTGCAGTGAAACACTTTTCCACCCCTATAACTGCGGTTGTGTAGGAAGTTATCAGGTTCGCTTTTTAATGTGATTACAGCATATTTTTATTTTCCTTGTGAACAGCTGTAAATACATAATAAAGTGAGTTTTTTACCCAATTGGTATGCCTTCCTTTAGGAATCCTACAGTGGCCATTTTATTTCCCTTGCCTTAGGTTCATTATGGTTACTGGAGAAATTTCCTCTATAAAGTAATAAAAGGATTTTTCAGCCAGGTTAACTGCTCTGGAGAATACTTGTTTGTAGCTAACTTTAATGATCATATTCTCTTAGTTTCCAAGGTAATTCTTTTGGAAGTTTTTATACAATTAAAGCAGAAGCCTCACGTTTGAAATAGAAAGGCAGCAAAAGTTGTAACTGTTTTTCCTTGAATTCTTTGTAGTTCTCCAGTGTTATTTGTGATATAAGAAAGTAATAGGTTGACAGGGATAGAAGTAGCAGGACTTGGAGAGTTGGAACATGTGTATGTGTGTTTGAGGGATTATTTAGCATCCTTCCCTTGACCATGGTTCCAGGTCAAGGATATATACAGGGGTTGGCAAAAGCAGGTTTACAGCTGCTCACATGGAAGAATATGCAGGTTATGATTATTACAGTAGCTTTATTAACTCAAAGGAATGTCACAGTGGCACAGTGCACTTAGGGACAATCTTGTAAGTGTTCAAGTTACTGGCCTTCATTACAAAACAATAATATGAAATAACAACAACAATAATAATAAGATAAATAATATAAATAAAAATACAATGATTAATAATAATACAAGAATAAACTTTGTGTTTCATGTACTCACAACTGTGAAACTACTTTTGCCTACCAATGTGTGTGTGTGTGTGTGTGTCTATATACTTTTGGGACCCTCCAGCTGTATTCCAACAATTTCATTTTTCTAATCAAATCGATTCTTGAATCTTGAGGGAAGATTGTATATGTCAGCTACAAAACCAGCTTGAGTGATCCAGAGAAATCATATCACAATCCACTTTTGCTATGTTACTCTTTTAATTTAACTCCCTATAATTTATTCTCTCTCATTTACCCCTTATTCCTACCCCATTTTTCCTTTTTACTTCCTTTTTCCCCTCTTAGTACTGGTTATGATTACTAAAATTGACCTAGGTATTTCTGGTATAAAAATCTCTATAAGTCAGCATTCTTTATTTCTTTTCATTGAAATATTTAAAAAGGAAAAAATCCTATAAAGTACAATTAAGAAGCACAACTAAAAATATACACACAGACAAAAAAGAAGGAAAATCTCCCAATCTTTATTTTTGGCAAACTAGGGGATACATATCTTTAGATTTCAAAATACACATAAAAGTTAAGAAGCAGCAGTTGGGGTTGAGCAGACGCCAAGTAGCAGGAAGTGAAAAGCGTGAAGTGTGGAAAGAGGGCCCAGTGAGGGTAGATTTTGGTAAAATCAGCAACGTGTTTTTTTGCTACTCTAGGCACAGGAACTGGTGAGCAAGGCTGGCAGATGTCAGGTGGACTCCCTTTAATTCAGAGAGGTGCAAGAAGTGCACAGAAAGCCATGTGGATGGCACTTTTTTGGGAGTTAGTCTACCTTGGTGGCAGCTAAACTGCAACAGCACTCTCCCTGCTCCTCGCTCTGCTGGGAACTAGTCAAAAAAATCCAACTCCCTCAATGATGAGTAATGAATGGAATGAAGAAGGAATGCACATCAAAGACAAGAAGAATGTGTAGCAGTGCTTATGAACAAAGTTTGGCACTAGAAAAATGAGGCCAGAGGGCACACGAAAATTGTGATCAAACTCTTACCATAAATTTAAAAAGATAAGCAATAACTCTTTGAAGGGAGACCACAAAAAAAAAAAAAGAAATACAACACCTAGAGCAAAAAATGCTTAGATCCAAAAAAGAGATGCAATGTGAGCTTGTAGGTTCAAAAAAAGTACTAAAACTATCACAGAAATGAAATAAAATTGGAGGAACACAGGAAATGCTAGACACTGCAGAAAACTCAACAAGAAACATAGGAGACAGAAATAATACAACTGATTTAAATCAAACAAAAAAGAGCTAAGAATAATTAGATGCATAGACCAAGCAGGTACAGCATCTGCATAATTGAAACCCCTTAAGAAAAAGCAAAGTAGAATAAATATTGAAAGCTATAATTCAAGAAAATTATCCTAAAATAAATGAAGATTTATTTAATATGTTAATGAAAATGCCTTAAAAATGGGCCCAAGAAGGTTAACACTAAAACTTACATTATTAAAATTAGTAGACTTGAAAAATAAAAGAATAATTCTTTAATCAGCCAAACAAAAAATCACATCACTTACTTAGGGGAAGAATATCAGCATGACTTAATCTTCTCTATAGCAATATTCAACAGAACAGCATTTTTCAAAGAAAATATGAAGTAAGAATTTTAAATTTAGACCAACTATTTCTACTGCGTAAAGGCTAAAGACAGATTTGAACATGCAAAAATGGAGGGGAATTGTTCCCATGAGGTCTTTTTGAAGAAACTATTATGATCATTAATTTCAGCTGACCAATAGATGGCTGGGAGTGTTAATTTAGAATACATTTAAACTTTAGAACTAAGAAGGAAATGTGAGGATTAGGACAACAGAGCAGGCAGGATAGGAGGTGAACATTATTTGCTCTCAGGAGGTAGAAATGATACAGCAGTAACTGTGAGGGGAAGAGGAAAGAAGGTGGGAGGCAGAGTAAATTCTCTAATTGCCGATCTCTAGTCGCAGGGAGTCAAAGCATATCAGTTTAAGCAACCAAATCAAGAAATGGAAGTACAAGCATATCTAACAATAAACTCTAAGAGAGAGACAATTAATGACTAATGTGGGTGGGAAAGGGAGACAAAATACACAAATTTTAAGTATTCTTCATAGGAAATTATTATTAACTGAAAACAAATAGAAGAGTATTATGATCATATGAATAGTCATTAGAACAAAATTACCCACAAAAAGGAAGGAAAATAAAACAAACTATATTTGGCTTGTTAAAATTTTTTAAATGTAGCTATCAAAATAGAAAGCATACCGTAAATGAGGGAACTGTGAACAAACTTACCAGTTATAGCGATACATATAAATGGTCTGACTCCTCTAATAAAAATAATTCAGGTTTGGGTCACAGAGCTTATAAAAGATACCTTAACATAAAGTAATTACAAATAGTGAAAATAAGAGTATGAGTAAAGGTATGTGGGCAAATATAAATAATAGAAAGAAGGGTTTCTATTTTTATATAAAAGTGGAATTAAGGCCAGGAAAATTAAATGAAATGAAGAGTTAGCTTTTCATTGCTACAGAATACAATTCAAAATGAAGATAAAATATTTATAAATATACATGCATATCAGTGTATCCATACACTCATAAAAAAGAATGGAAAAAGAAATAATAGAAATTTTAATTCGCCTTTGAGTTATGACAGATCAAGTGAATAAAATATAAAACAGAGGTTGTGGGTTCCACCCGCAGCTGGGGTGTGTATGGGGGGCAGCCAGTCAGTGTTTCTCTTTCCCCCCACCCCCACTCCCTTTGTCGCCCACTCTCCCTCTTTCTTCCCCTTCCTCTCTCTCTAAAATTAAAAAAAAATTCCTCAAGT